ATTTCGATCCCTAGGTTTGTCTCTTTATATTTACTGTGGGGAGCCTGGAACTAGATTAGGATTGCAGAGTCTTCATCCACAACACAACTCAAGCCAGTAGAAATGCTGTTGGGCTCACATGGTGATTTTTTTTTAAATTGAGGCCACATTTAAGAATTGAGAAGTATCATAGACTTCTAGTTTGGCCAACCTACATCATCATGAACTAAAAGTTTACTGGAGTGAAGTAGTCATTGCCCCTTTAAACAGAGCATGTGCTGTCTGGTTTTCCACAGTCCCTACCATTCCCTATTGCCTCTCCTGGCCAGCTTCATTCACTGCTTGTTTGCTGCCTTCCTAGCCTCTGTAGGCATCTGAGTTGAGAGTTACCCAAAAGTCCCCAAATGTACTTTCTGCCTCTACCATCCTGTGAATCCAAAGCCTATCAAACTATCTCTAAATGCCCCCCGCCCCCACACACACCCAATCCTGCACTCAAGAGTTAATCATCAGCTTCTTATGTAAATCAGAACAGGAAAGTCTTGTTTGGCCAATTCCTCTGAAAATCTTAGCTATTATTCTTCACCTAGGCTGTGTCCTGTGTCTGCCTGCTCAACACTTGTCTCCTATCTTCTTGTCCCTGACGGAAGATCCTTGAGGCCAGCTGTGGCCATGGATGTCCAGAGAGTCAGGCGGGCCGGCCAGATGAGTGGGGAGTGGGTGCACCCAGGCCAGACCCTGATCTGGGCTGTTTGGGTCCTTGCAGCTGCCATCAAGGGTGAGAAGCCCAGTGGGAGAGGAGGGCTCTCAGAAGATGGGATAGGGGATTTCCCTGCCTTGGAGGATTTTTTACTGGTGGAAAATGGAAAATGGAGGGTTGTGTAGAACCTCAGGGCACCTGACCCATGTCCTGGTGTTGCTGAGAGCCCCAGGCCAGAGTCTCCTTCTCAGGTGTGTGTAGAGCACAGAAGATCCTGTCCTGTCTTTGGGTTGCTTGAATCTTAGGAGGTTTGGAAGGGCATGGAACGGAGCCTGTGTTTCTATAACACCTACTGCTGAGGCAGGACTGTCGCTGTTGAAATGACTTTAGAACAGGTAATGCCAAGAAATCTGGCCCTCCTAAGTAAATAGCTGGGCAACTAACTTCTCAAGGTTCCGTATTTGATGTGGATACCGAGACGCTTGCACAGTCTCTGTACGTGTTATCCTTGTACCCCTGGAGGTAAATGAACTGATTTCAGGTAGCGTAAGATAATTTTTTAGTTTTGTTGCTCTATATGTATTTTCTTGTGTACTCAAAAGCATATACCTAAGTCATCAAAGCCACAGTTCCATAGATGGCATTGTTTAGAATTCCCCTAAGTAAAATTTTAGAAGTCTATCTCAATTTAATTTTAAGAAAAGAAGAAAGCCAGTAATCACACAGGTGATACACAGACATGCCAGCAGTTATGCCGGTGGGTATAAAAATAACTGAAATGTGGGCCAGATTTTATTGAGTCCTAGGGTAATGAATCCGCCTGCAATGCTGGAAATCCAGGTTCGATCCCTGGGTCGGGAAGATCCCCTGGAGAAGGGCATGGCAACCCACTCCAGCATTCTCACCTGGAGAATTCCATGGATAGAGGAGTCTGGAGGGCTACACAGTCCACGGGGTCACAAAGAGATGGACACAATTGAATGACTAACACACACAGGCTCTATAAAGGCTAGTGTGTATCTCTTCCACGTAAAGAAAACTTGTGTGCAGCAGCAGGGAGATGGGTTCCCAACTTACATCTTGGAAAGTTTTGTGGCTTGGTGCTATGCTCCTAGGAGACATTCAGTGAGTGCTCTGGTGAAGATGGCCTCGGGGAGTGTCAAAGGAGCAGTGGACATGGATTCATTGAGAAGGAATCCAGATACTTGCACAGTCTCTGGGCTGAGAAAGAGCGCCCCACCTTGGGAAACTCTGAGTTTGGCTTATTCCCAGCCTCTTCCTCGCGCCCCTAATTCCTCCCTATGTGTTTCCTCAGGGCCAGCCACCGCCGATGCACCAACCAGGCACACCAACCTGGGATGGATCCGGGGGACGCAAGCTTCTGTTCTGGGAAATGACATGCTCGTGAATGTGTTCCTTGGGGTCCCTTATGCCGCACCCCCTGTAGGGCCCCTGCGATTTGCAAACCCGGAGCCTTTACTTCCCTGGAATGGTTTCCTAAATGCCACGTCCTACCCTAAATTGTAAGAACTGGCTTGGCCCCAGGGGTGGCCTGTACCTGTGAGTAGGGGCAGAATGTGGAGGGGGAGTAAAGATCATGCAGCCCAATGGAAAATGGGGTGCATTTGTGAGGAGGATGCGGAGGGTCAGGTGTGATTGAGGCTTCTGTGATGGCATGGCTCCCCACCTTGTTTAACATGGTTCCCCACCTGTTTAAACAAGCAGAGTCCCTGGGCTCTCTTCTGAACTCCCTGGATCCCCAGAGCTGGGCCTGGGAAACTGGCTTGTAAAGAAGCTCTCAAGCAATATTGAGGACCAGTCAGGCTAGGGAACCACTGTGATGGGCTGACTGAGTCTTTGGGTTAAAAGAGGTTATTGATGTGTCTCCAAGTGACCTCTACCCCAGGCTTAGTCTCCACCATCAGACTGGGTCAGGTCTTTAGGGTGAGAACCATCCCAGAGGAATTTTAACTCTAACGATTCACATGGTGCCCAATGCAGGGCCTGGCCCATAGTGGGGAATCCATAATTACCTGTGGGATGGATACATGAATGTGTCTCTGTGACCCAGAGCAGCTGGGAGGGCTGATTATCCCAGACACTGCAAATTTTCCAGCTTAGATGAACAAGCAATTCCCAGGTAAATTGTGGAGGTGTCTTGTGCACTGGGTGGGAGGTGAGGCTTGGAAGTGCCAAGAATCTTTTTTTTTAGGTATAAGTTTATTTATTTATTTACTTTCGGCTGTGCTGGGTCTTCGTCGCTGCTCAGGCTCTCGTTCTGGTGAGCAGGGGCTGCTTTCTAGCCCATTGCACAGGTTTCTCATCACGGTGACTTCTCTTGTTGTAAAGAGCAGGCTCTAGGGGTGCAGGCTCTAGGCATGCAGGCTTCAGTAGTTGCAGCGCACAAGGTCAGTAGTTGCGGCTCATCGGCCTAGCTGCCCCTCAGCATGTGGAGTCTTCCCAGACCAGGGATCCAGCCTGTGTCCCCTGCACTGGCAGGTAGATTCTTGAACACTGGACCACGAGCGAAGTCCGCCAAGAATCTTTCAGCTCTCAGATTCTGTGAAGCCCTCAGACTGGGCCATGCTGGTTCTTGGTACTGGGGTCCCAGCCAGAGGGAGGACCCTGGTGCCAGAAAACTAAGCCACAGAAGAAATCCCTATGTTGTCCAGGCACCGAGGACAATAAGTTGAACTTTGTGTGTTCATTCATTCATTCAACTAATATCCACAGAGAATCAACTCAGAAACTGGCTCTCCATTAGGCCCTGGGATCATGACAGTGAGTTAGACACAGCTTCCCTCAAGGAATCTGCAGACTGGCTGTGGTAGTGAAGACATAAACAATAAGGACAGTTAAAATATGGGGTGACAAGGCAAGCATTAGGGAGTCAGAGCAGGTCAGCGAGGGAGTCTTGAGGGGAGGCCAGATATGGCTTTGTTAAAAGCAATGAGCCCCAATTTCTGATACACAACATACAAAGGAAGAAAAAAGCATTTGAAGCAATGATTTTCTGCTGCCTAATCTGTACACTATTCTATTTTAGAAAAACAATGAACATTAATTGAGTACTTACTAGACATATTCACATATATAATCTCACTTAATCCTACTATGCCTTGGGATAGGGACTCTAAGGTACCATGGTGACTCACACAGAACCCTAGGCTTTTAGCTGCTCACTGGGAGAGATTCTAGGAAAGAACACAAAATATATATGTGTTTCCAAAGACCTCCCAAGTGGCTCAGTGGTAAAGAATCCACCTGCCAACGCAGGAGACACAGGTTCAATCCCTGGGTTGGGAAGCTCCCCTGGAGAAGGAAATGGCAAGTCACTTGAGTATTCTTGCCTGGGAAACCCCATGGACAGAGGAGCCAGGCGGGCTACAGTCCACGGTGTCGCAAAACAGTCTGACACGACTTAGCGACTAAACAATTCCAAAGAGCTATGGTCTAGCTGGAGAAATCTCAGGAGGCTTCTTGGAGAAGGTGACACTTTGAGAGAGTCTGAAAGAAAGGGAAGAATGTGAACAAGCAGATCTGGGGAGAAAGTAGTCAGGGCAGAGGGACTAGCTTAAGCAAAGGCCTGATTGCAGGAATCTTCCTGCTAGCCTACCTCTGTTGTTTCCGGTAGAAAGGCCTGGGAATGTCCTTTTGTTCCTCTAGAGGCAGAAAAGGGAGCCGCAAGAGCACAACCCTTAATATACATCCCTGTGACCTACTGTCTACAGCTTGGAGAATTATTGAGCCAGCTTGAGTCTTTATGTGTATGTCTGGATCATGGTGATGGGGGTAGGCATGAGTGGGTCCTGGGGGTAGGCATGAGTGGGTCCTGGGGTTTCATGGTATAATTATTCTGCACAGTGTGCTTTCTTACCCAGAAACCAGATCAAAGAGAATTATAGCTTGTTTGGGCTTCCCAGGTGGCACCAGTGGTAAAAAAATCTGCCTGCCAATGCAGGAGACCCAGAAGATATGGGTTTGATCCCTGGGTTCAGGAAGATCCCCTGGAGGAGGGCATGGCAACCCACTCCAGTATTCTTGCCTTGAGAATCCCATGGACAGAATCCCATGTAAGCCTGGTGGGTTATAATCCATAGGGTCGCAAAGAGTTGGACACAACTGAAGTGACTTTAACATGCACAGCTTGTATAGGCCACCATGGGGACTGAGATGTTTTTAAATTTTGTACCAGAGCACTGAATCCCCGTTCTGCTCAGGCATAGGAGATCACTAGGCCTCCCTGCTGTCACAAAAGCTGGCCCCTCCCAGGCAGGTCTGCTGATAGCAACTCTGGGGGTTTCTCCTTCGCTTTTCCAAGGTGCTTCCAGAAGTCAGAGTGGCTGTTCACAGATCAACACATTCTCAAGGTGCGTTACCCCAAATTCAGAGTATCAGAAGACTGCCTGTACCTTAACATCTACGCACCGGCTCATGCAGAAACCGGCTCCAGGCTCCCGGTAAGGCTCACAGCTCCTGCTGCGCTGGGGAGTACAGTTACAGGTTCTGGGCCTGGGACCTGGGTGGAGTGGCTGGATATCTGGAATCGAATCTAGGCTCCCTTGGGTAAAAGGGAAATATACTCACTTGACATGTCAATAGCTTTCTTAAAAATCATTCTACTGACAGATTTGCTTTGTCTTCTTTTGTGATTACTTCTTTATGGTTAGTAATTTGACCTCAGATTGTTTATTTTGTTTTGTTTTTCTCCTCTGTTGGGTATTAAATAGTCTGCAAACAGAAAAGACTCTGCTTTGAAGGACTCTGATTTTTTTGGTTTGGAAAATCCTATCTTTTAAAAAATATTTATGTATTCGTTTCTTTTTGGCCACGCTGTGTCTTTGTTGCTGCCAGGGTTTTTCTCTAGTTGCTGTGAGCTGGGGCTTGTCTTATTGCAGAACATGGGCTCTAGGGGGCTTGGGCTTCAGTAGCTATGGCTCCCGGGCTCCAGAGCGAGAGCTCAGTAGTTGTGGCACACGAGCTTAGTCACTCTGAGGCATGTGGAATCTTCCCAGACCAGGGATTTAACCAGTGTCCCCTGCATTGGCAGGCAGATTCTTATCCACTGGCCCACCCAGGAAGTCTGGGGGACATCCTGTTTTAAAGAAGATAGTTGCCTTTTGCAAATTTTTTATTTTCAGATGAAGACAGGTTATAATAGGAAATGTTTCACTTAAGAATAAGGAAGATCTTTGTACAAGAGAGTGTACTATACATCTAATTTTGAACCACACCCTCCATCACCCTCTGTCTCCCCCTTGCCACTGCAACAGAGACTTGCTCTACTGTATCATAACAGCAGCACCTATTGAGGGCTGACTGTGTGCCAGGTACAGTTCATTCTCTCATCTCAGCCCCCACAATAAGCCAGTGGGGGAGGATTATTGGGCCTATTCTACAGATGAGGAAGCGGAGAATCAGGGAGGGCATAAGCCACTTGGTCCACGTTATACACACAGTAAGTGGCAGATCTGGGTGTCAAGCCAATGCTTTGTCCAGTTCTCCTTTACCTCCATGGCTTTCTTCTCTTTCCTACCCCATGAGTTATAGTCAATAACATGACTTTTAAAAGAGAAGAGAAGGGATTGTTTAAAAATTAGTATATACCTGGTAATATTCATTAAGTATGGGCTTCTCAGGTGGTGCTAGTGGTAAAGAACCTGCCTGCCAATGCAGGAGAGACTCAGGTTCGATCCCTGGGTCGGGAAGATCCCTTGGAGAAGGTAATGGTGACCCACTCCAGTATTCCTGCCTGGAGAATCTCATGGACAGGGCAGCCTGGCGGGCTATAGTCCATGGGGTGGCAAAGAGTTGGACACGACTGAAGTGACTTCACACACATACATTAAGTATATACATGGTGATAATACCATTTGAATGTTTGATGTTTCCTGGTCCCAGTTTTTCTAGTTGATAAAGTAAAACTTCCACACTTTTCTCTTTTTCCCTCCTCTCTTCTCTTCTCTCTGTAAGTGGATATAAACTCTAGATTAAAACAGTTTAAGTGGCTCTTGGTCTCATATATCGCTTATAGCTATTTCCATTTTTCTGTGGGTCACAAGTTTCATGACATTCAGTTAACACTTTTTGAGCTCTTGAAATATGCCAATGTTGTTCCATGAACTTCAGATGAAGAATTTTTTTTAAACGTCATGCTAACCTCATAAATGAGACACTTTCATTCTGCACATCTTACCGATGAGAAAGACGAACCTCAGAGAGGTTCAGAAGCCTGCTCAAAGTCACACAACTAGTCAAGGGCAGAGATGGGAATCAAACCCAGGCACTCACATGCCAGAATCCACATACTTAACCCTGGGCCTTCTTCAAAAGACAAACCTCTGAGGCTGTTTGGGAAGGAGAGTGAAACATTCCTATTTCCCTAAAGAAAGAATGTCCCAGCATGCATGGGGAGGGGCTGTGGGTGCCTGTTGGACTGGCTGGAGGGTTCCTTTCCCCTTCCTCAGGTCATGGTGTGGCTCCCCGGCGGCGCCTTCGAGACTGGCTCAGCGTCCATCTTCGATGGGTCCGCCCTGGCTTCCTATGAGAACGTGCTGGTTGTGACCATCCAGTACAGACTAGGAATATTTGGCTTCTTCAAGTGAGTCTCCCCAAGGGATTGACACCCCTGACCCCCAAGGGGCAGCTGGGCACAGCCACAGGGAACTTCGTGCTCGGCAACCTAAAGAGAAATGAGCCTTCAGTGGCTCTGAACTAATTTGGCCCAAACTAGTTAGGTCGTTTTAGCAGCTGTAACAGATAAGCCCCAAGCTTTAGTGGCTTCAAATTATAAAAATTTCCTTCTCACTCAACTGAAATCCAACCAAGTGTTTCTGACTGACAGGCATTCTTCTCCACGGTCAGTCAGGGACCCAGGCTCCTTCCATCTCTCCTCTGGGGCCCCACCCAACTCCTCTGCACTTGGCCAGCAGATGGAGAGCAAGCAGGAGAGTCATACCAGGGTGGTCTTCCCAGGTCAGCCTGGAGGGGACGATTATTGCTCTGTTTACATACAATTGGCAGAACTCAGTCATAATAGCCACACTCAACTGCAAGGGAAATGTGTTCCTGGCAGATGAGGAAACCGGGAGTGTGAGCAGTTCCAAGTGTCTGCCATCGGGCCCCACATCAAGGCTCCTCCATTGCTCACCTAGGAATAATCACTCCACTGATGACTTCCCTCCCCCACCAAGTAATATCAAGCATGTTTCAGTGCTCATATGAGCCCAACACCATGCTGGGTACTTGCTATGCATTCGTTATAGCTCACCCCAGACTAATTCTGTGAGAAACACACTGTTGTTATTCTCATTTTACACTTGAAAAATGGAGGCACAGAGAGGTGAAAGAACTTCCCAGAGGTCACAGAACAGAACTAGGTCTCTTGGCCGCTTCCTTGACCCTACTTAGAACGTGGCAGAACTCAAGCCCTGGCCAGGAGGCAGTGTAAGCCAAAGGTCAGAAAGTATGGGGAAGGCAGCAAGGAGTCCAGCATGTATCCTGCCCTTGAGAGGCTGCCAGTGTCAGGGGGAAAATAACACAGGGACACAAATCTCCAGGCTCCCAGGCAGGACATCAGTCCCTGGTGGTTCTGAAGGTAAGAGGCGCTGGACCTGCATGTAGAAACAGAGGCGGGAGCTGCAGGAAATCAGCCAGTCTTCCTGAAAGAGGTGGGATTGGAACCAACTGCACCTTAAAGACAGGGTTGGACTTAGGCATGAGGGGTTGGGAGAGAGCCAGAGCAAAGACTAGGAAATTGGAAGGAAACGTAGCCACATGTGGGGCTGGAACAGTATTTGCAAACTGGGCTTTGGGGCATGTAGCACAGGGAGGTGACTGAGAGGCTGCAGTGGAGGCAGAAAGGACTGAGATCAGACTAATGTCCTGACCAGAGTGATTACATGTTTAGCGGGTCTGTACACTGGGATTCTGCCTAATATTCTCTCAACAGAAAGGTTTCCAAAAGTTGTTTATAACATCTGGGTTTTAATAGACAGGTAACTGAGGATATAACAGGAAGTGGGTGCGAAAAGGTAGGGCCAGGCCTGATTGGGAAAGACCCTGAATGCCAGGCTGTGCATGGTGACTGGTTTTTAGTGGATAAAGAAGGAGGGATCCAGGAGTGCCCTGCAGAGCAGTATAGTGGAAGGTCACTCAGAGCAGGGTGCAGGCTGGCCCAGGGGTGCCTGGGCTTCAGATGGGACATCTGGTTGGGGTGCTGCTATACAGCCTAGATGCAGGCCATGGGGTGAAGCAGGCTGGTGGCTGAATAGCTAGAGGGATTGCTAGCATGGATATGGCACTTACTGTGTGCTTGCACCATCAGTCTTCACAACAGTCATATGAAGCAGGTACCGTTAATCAACCCCATTCAGACATAAGAACATTGATGCAAAGCACATTAAGTGACTTGCTCATGGTCACCCAGATCATAAGTGACCAGATTATGAATCAGGATAAACAAAGGGAGGAATGGGAACCAACGTGGGAGCCATGATGGAATGGAGGTGAAATAAGCAGAGTGTGGCTCCTGACCAGATGCAGGGATTGTGGGAGAGAGAAGGTGGAGTTGGGGCCAGCCTAGGCATCAGGGACAGACAGAGAGAACCAAGACGAAGAGCGGGTGTGGGGGACTAGAAGATGGAGGAGGAGTAGACTGTGATCCCAAGATTACTCTCATACGTGGTGGGCAGCATGCATGAACTACCCAGCAGCACGGGGACACAGTTAGGAGAATGGACCCAGATCTGCAATTTTCTAGCTCCTGGGCAAGGAACTTCACCTCTCATGCCTCTGCTTCCTGTCTGTGAGATGGAAACAATGAATCCCTCAGTATCCTTAGAACATGCTTGCGGATACCCCTGATGGGGGTGGGCATGACATGAGTGAGTTCTGGCTGCCAAGAAATGCAGCCACTGCCCAAACCACTTCCCAGCAGAGGTGGGGGAACATGGGGTGATGGAATCAGTCCCTCAATATTCCACCCTGAAACCCTCATCCAGTGCCTTCCTCTGACTGCACACAGTGGGCAACCTGGGTGGGGTAGTTCATGAAAGTCAGCCTTTTGAGAACAAGGTGGAGAAGGGCAGAGAGGACCCAGAAGGATGAAGGAGAAAGACCAGCACCACCTACCTCACAGAGTGGGAGGTTAAAGGAACTTCAGCTATAAAGCCCTGGGGACAGCATTGTACACGTCGCTGCAACAGCTGCTGTTATTATCATTATTTTTCCTTTTTTTTTTTTAATCATTATTTTTCATTCAGTCATTCACTTGGAACTGCTGTGCCCAGGGAGGTCTTGCTTCCTGGTGCAGACCAACTTTCAGGAGCAGGACTCTTCTGGAATCCATGGATTCAGGGGAGCCTGTGAATACCCTGAAATTGCACATACCAGATTGTCCATACATTTTTCTGGGGGTATAGAGTTTTCATCAGATTCTCAAAGAAACCCAAATCCCAACAGAAGGTGAGAATTAAGCCTGGTTCTCCCAGCGACCCCAGGCCTCTGACTCCCCACTTTTCTCCAGCTGGAGTGGCGGTGCCCTGACACAGCCCACAGCCTCCTCATCTGACCCCCGGGGATGTGGGAAGCAGACAGCGGCCAGATGAGCGTTCTCACTCTGCCTCTCGTCCACAGCACAGGGGACAAGCATGCGCTGGGGAACTGGGCCTTCATGGACCAGGTGGCTGCCCTGATGTGGGTCCAGGAAAACATTGAGTTCTTCGGTGGGGACCCAGGCTGCGTGACCATCTTCGGCGAGTCAGCAGGAGCGATAAGTGTTTCCAGCCTTGTGAGTTTCTTCTCTTTGGGACCTGAAGGAACCTCGGTGGGGGAGGTGACAAAAATGAAGACAATGAGTCATGCACATCTAATTGCTGCTTTCATGTTGAACAAACGCTCATAAACACATTGTCTCCCTCGAACCTCACAAATACATGGTGAGTGAGGGGCTTAGTCTCATTTCAAGGGCAAGAAGTGAAGGAGCCAGCACTCCCATGCCAGAAGGCTTGACCTCCAAGTTCATGAGGAACCTGGGCCACTGAGAGGTTAGAAGACTTGCCCAAACCTTTGCAGCTAATCCTTGAAATTCCCAAACCAGGACTTTTTTCCCTCTGAGTTTAGAACACTTAAGGAGGCTTCCTAGGAAGTTTTCTTTATTTCTTTTATTATTTTTAATTTTTTAATTGCTTTAAAATGTCTGTTGTTTCTGCCACACAACAACACGAATCAGCCCTGCGTATACATGTGTCCCTCCCTCTTTAGCCCCCCTACCACCTCCCTCCTGCCACCTCTCTAGGTTGTCACAGGGTGCCAGGCGGGGCTCCCTGTGTCATACAGCTGCTTCCCACTAGCTATCTGCTTTACACATGGTAATATATACACGCCAAGGCTATTTCTCAGTTCGTCCCACCCCCACCCTCCCCCACTGTGTCCACAAGTCTGTTCTCCACATCTGCATCTCTATGCAAGTTTTCTCTAAAGAAAGGCTGGGTGTTATGTGTGATGGGTGGGAAGCTCCCTGAATAATGTTTCCTGGGTCTCCTGTGTTCTCTCTCCAGATTCTGTCCCCCATGACTGAAGGCTTATTCCACAGAGCCATCATGGAGAGTGGGGTGGCCATCATCCCTTACCTGAAGGCCCCTGATCACGAGAGGAATGATGATGTAGGTATACTGTTAACTCTTCTCCAGCTTCCTCTCTTTGGTCAAGAGACAATGGGGTCAGGTGTCCAGAGACCATCTGCTTGGCTGTCCGTACTGACCATGACCAAAGGAGCTGATGTTGGCCCGAGGTGACCCTTCTGACTTCATGGAAGGTTCAATAGGACATGGGCCCAGGTGCACAATGCACTACTGCCGGTGTGCTTGCCTGTGTGTGGCGAGGTGGGAGGGGCAGTGTAAGCAGATGTGTGATAGTCTTACATCTTATCCATTATTCTTTACTGGTGATATATGACTCAGTTTTGTATGTTATGTATCGCTTATCTGCTTTCTCTACTCCACCTAGAGTGCTATGTTAAGAAAGGTTCTGAGGTTGTTTCCAGTTCAGTGTGAAATAGCACAGTGACTGATAAATGCTGTCTGGCATGAGACTGTGAGGGGGAAGTGAAGCATGTGCCCCACATATTTGTCATCTATCATCTTGTCTTAGCACTCTACCAGATAAGAGGACCTGGAGGTCAAGGTCTCTCTGTATCTTTCATGTCCCAGCAGAGTATCTGGTGTGTATTAGGAGATTCTAAATGTTTGCTGAATGACTGAGCCTATTCACTCAATGAATACTAATTAAGCTGGACTATGGAGCCATCTCCTGGGTACCATTCACAATAGTGGTGCACTTTTTTAAACACCTCGTAGAAAATGACAACCAACAGTGGGAACATAGAGCTCTAATATGATTTTAAAAAATACTCTCAATACACAGAGAATATTGATTTTGGTAGAATGATATATCAAGCTACTTTTAGTTTGTGTGTTTGCCACACACACATTGAGTGCTCATTGTTTTCCCTGCTCTATTTTAAGACCAATGAGTGTTTAAGTGGAGAAGGCACATACTAACTTAAGACTGTGTGTGTAAGCAGATGCGTGATAGTTCTTACATCTTATCCATTACTCTTCACTGGTATATTCTTTTGCTGATATATAACTCAGTCCTCTGTATTATGTATGGTTTATTTACTTAATCTACTTTGGCCACCTGATGCGAAGAGCCAACTCATTGGAAAATACCCTGATGCTGGGAAAGACTGAGGGCAGGAGAAGGGGGGTGACAGAAGATAAGATGGTTGGATGGCATCAATCCTTTTTATGATTTTTAACCTGGAATCCATGGAAAGTAGAAGAGGTGCTTCTAGAACCCCTGCAGTTCTATGCAGACTGCATGTGTGTGCATCTTTCAGGGAGAGGGTCTGTAGCTTCCACTGGATACTCAGAGCATCCATGACTCCCAGAAGAGTAACGACCACTACTTTCAAGGGCCAAGTCCAGGGAGAGAGCAGGAAGGTGTTTGGCAAAGGCTAACTAGGGCAGAAAGGTGAGGACACTTAGAGCCACAGGAGATTAGAAGAGGAAGGACTCACGGGGTCTATAGTCTAAAAGGACATCCTGGAAAAGATGGGGCTGGGGCCTCCAGGAATAAATGGAATTGGTGTAGAGACAGAAAAAGGATGTTCAGGACATGTTCAGATGTTCCAGGTTGGGGTGGCGGTGGGGCTTGAGCAGGGCTGACAGGCTGAGACAGATCCAGCTCAGGTGATTACTAAAGATGGTGAGGAGGGTCAGGCAAGAGAGAAACGATGATGCAGTGCCAACCTGTCCTCAACGTGTGCATTCCATAATGGGCCTGTGGTGGGAGAGGCCACATGCTGGTCTTCATATACAGAGCAGCAGCCTAGGGCTGGATTGAGGATGTTTTTCAACTCTCATTTTCCTGGAGGCTTTCAGTTCTGTGCACTGACCTGTTCCTTCTCTGAAAATAGTTGCAGACAATTGCAAGTATTTGTGACTGCAGCGCGTCAAACTCCGTGGCTCTGCTGCAGTGCCTGCGGGCAAAGTCCTCCAAGGAGTTGCTGAGCATCAACCAGGTGAAGAGGGAGGGGAATTTGGGGACAAGGTTGTCCTTTGAATGGAATCGTAAACAAATCCTACCTCTCTCTTATTTATTTCAATTCAGAACTTGGACAGATAGGGGTTGGGGATTCCTAGTAATGACTATTAAAAAAGCAATGTGGAATATAGAACTCTTATAGTTTATCTTAAGGAGATTGACAAGCCAGGGTGCTGCTTAACTTGGAGAAGACACAACAAAACACAAAGACTGCAATTATCTCTACATCAGTGAAGGGATCTCACAGGGAACAGGGTCCACATTTACTCCACAGGCCGCCAGGAGCTAAAGTCAAGATCAAGAGCTGGAAGTTGGGGAGTCATAACTAAGCACTTTCTAAAAACTCAGTTATCTGAAAAGGGATCAGCTCCTTTAGAACACAGTGAGATACCCACCTCTGTAGGTATGCAAGCAGGGTCTAAATGACTGCAGATGAATTTCAATCACCAAGTAATTCACTGGACTGGATAATCTTTTATGCCTAATCTTCCAATCTTGAGACCCTCTGATAATCCTTGAGACAATGAAGTCCTTACTGTCCGATTCCAACATTTGTTAAGCAATTATTTGGCATGGATTAAGAAATCTGCTACAAGTTGTACTAGGATCCAGGAAATAGATAAGTTCTTGACCCAATGTAGTGTGAAAGTTCTTTTTTGGGCTCTCTTGTACACCTACTCCCAAAACAGAGACCTAAAAAAAAAAAAAACAAACTCATGAATAGAATCAGATGTTGCTTCCTAAGACCCAAGAACCCAGACCCAAGTCTCAGTGCTGAGGAAGATGCCTTGGGAAGACCCGCACACCAACCCACACTACCCTGGCCATCCCCTCACCTCAGCTCTCTGCCCATTGCATTTGGACAGTGGTTCCACGCTTGAACATGCATCAGACTCACCTAGAGGGCTGGTTGCTGAGCTGCACACCCCAGAGTTTTGTATTTGGCAGGCCTGGGATAAGGCATGAGAATTCGTTTGTGTTTTTTTAAGATTTATTGTTATTTATTTGTTTATCTTTGGCTGTGCTGGGTCTTCATTGCTGTGCAGGGTTTCTCTAGTTGCAGAGAGCAGGGGCTACTCTTGGTGGCAGTGTGGGCTTCTCATCGCGGTGGCTTCTCTTGCTGTGGAGCATGGGCTCCAGGCACTTGGGCTTCAGTAGTTGTGGTACACTGGGCTTAGTTCCTCTGAGGCACGTGGGATCTTCCTGGACCGAGGATCGAACCTGTGTTCCCTGCATTGGCTGGCCGGTTCTTTACCACTAGACCACCAGGGAAGCCCGAGAATTTGCATTGCTGACAAGTTCCCAGGCAATGCTGCTGGTCCTGAAGCCACTTTCTGAGAATCATTGTGCTGGGGTATTATATATCTTAGGGAGTTACTACTTTTTTATCCACCTTTAGAAGACCAGAAAATTCAGGCCCGAAAAAGTTGGGCCCCTTTTCCCAAGTGAGTGGCAGAGTTGGCCAGGCAGCACTGATGCCTCGGGATGGGCCAAGAGTGATTGACTTTTCTTTTCTTAATGCCTTTTGCTATAGTGGATTGGCTCAGTTGGGCTAGAGTCTGGGGACAGCAGATTTTGTGAAATGAAACAGCTGCCGATTTTTCTCTTCTTCCTTGTTTCAGAAAACCAAGTCTTTCACTCGAGTGGTTGATGGCCTTTTCTTTCCTAATGAGCCGCTAGACCTGTTGGCTCAAAAATCATTTCATCTTGTTCCTTCCATCATCGGAGTCAATAATCACGAGTGTGGCTTCCTGCTACCCATGGTAAGAATTCCTCTGTGCCTCCTCCCACTCCTTCAACAGTCAGGCAGCTGTCTGCTTCACACTGGGCATGCACATGGATCTCACCAGCATTATGAGGGCTGGAGCCCATCACCCCAAGTACACAGCAGTCACTTTTTCTCTCTGAAGGAGGATTGGGGTCAGCTGTAGCAAGTGTTCACTCTGTTCTTCCTATAGGGTTAAAGGAACAACTGTACAAAAAAGTGATAGATCCAAGTGAACTTTGTTCAAAATATTACAAATGATTGTTTCAAATAAGCACTGTTTCTCCCTCAAAGGTGAAATTCATACAGGTTTAGAAAACTGCAGACCTTTACACTTTCATGTCCAGACTTGGTTTTGGCATTTCATTTCCAAGAATGCCAGTGCAAGTTGCAAAATTATTGAATTGTTTCATTCATCCAACAAATATGAACCAAGGGTTTACTCTGTGCCCTGCACTCATTTAAAAAAAAAAAAAAAAAACAGCATTCAGCAATGAGCAAGTCACATTGTTCCTGCTTTTTGCCAGCTTACATTCTCAAGGGAAGAGACAGATGATATGCAGGATTGAATGGATGGTTTCAAAGAGTCTAAGGGCTATGAAGGGCATAGACTGAGAAGAGGAGGCTTCTTTAGGGAGCCTCCTAAGTCTCCCTTTAGGGAAAAGGGGTCAGGAAAGACTTCTCTGAAGAAGGACAATTTGAGCAGAGATATGAATGCTTAATAGGAGCCATGATTTGTTTGACCCTGTAGTTTGAGTCTCCCCATTTGAAATAAGCTTTTCATCTGTCCTTAGAGGGCTTCCCAGGTGACGCTAGTGGTAAAGAACCCACCTGCCAATGCAGGAGACATAAGAGGTGCAAGTTTGATCCATGGGTCAGAAAGGTTCCCTGGAGGAGGAAATGGCAACCCACTCCAGTATTCTTGCCTGGAGAATCCCATGGGCAGAGGAGCCTGTCAGGCTACAGTCTACAGGGTCGCAAAGATTCAGACACAACTACAGCAACTTAGCATACATGCGTGCTGTCCTCAGAAGAGAGTGCTCAATTCTTAATATTTCCTAGTTCATTTCTACAGATCAACCTCCACCTTTCAAGTAGGGGCAATGACATACAGTGTATGAAAGGCAGGCTATGAAACACAGTGGTTTGTCAAGTTACAAGGCTAGCTGGTGGTCCTCTGGAACCAAAACCCTGAGTTCACTGGGCTGTTAAAGACATGTTCTGGCGATTATTAATTTGACATACAGAGCAGTGTTTCAGGGTAGGTGGGGTGGGGATATTTTTTCCCTCATTGCAATTGAAGCAACTGAGTCACAGACTGTGGCTTAAGTTAGTTCTTTTAATGCTTTGTGGATCTGTACTAGAGAAAGGAAGAAGGGTGCTACTGATAACAGCCACATCACCACAGTCACTGTGACTGAGTGTCTTTCATAAGCCAAGTGTTTGGCGACTGTACAATAATGCAAACGGGCATTATTATCCCCATTTAGCAGCTAAAGAAACTGAGACTCAGAGAGACTCGTGTGACTTTCCTACATCTCCGAGCTCGAGAGGAGACAGCAGTGTATAAATTTTATATATTTAGGCTCTGCCTGTAAATCTGAGTTCTCTATTTACCGGCTGTGTGACCTTTGAGGAGCTGCCTAACCTCTCTGAACCTCTGTTCCCTCATCTATGAAATATGGCTAAAGCTACTTCCTGCCTCACAGGTACACATCAAATAGCCTGGCATATGGTCTAAGTGCTAGGCATATGTTAGATATTGGAATTATTCAAGTGGGAGGACAGGACTTGGTGCCCAGGTCTGTATAGCACAAAAGCCTGCGTGAGTGCTGTCCTTCTGTGGTTGTCTGAGACCATAGACAGTCTCCAAAAACCAATCCTAGCTCCTGAACATAGAGAGGGTTCTTAGCAGTTAAAATGTACTTGTGGATTATTTGAATGACTCCAGGGGTTCTCTCAGATTCCACAAGACAGATTTGTTTAAATATCTGTCATGATTCATTACCCCAAGATTTTCAGCAGAAAATGTACCAGAGAAATTCATTTGACATGTGAATACTATTTCTATTCCTTCATGTTTTTAAGCTGTGATTTTGGCCAGGGAAGGGTCCGTTTTAAAAATAACTGCTTGTAGCTCTTACTCTATACCAAGCAGCCTCTGTGTTTTTAACCGTCCACTCTGCAGCCTCACCCGCTGCCTGCCCCTACCAACTTCTGGCTTCTCAGAGAGCCCAATGACAAAGGACTTTAGAAAGAGAGCAATAAATAAACCCCTTCAACTTGCTGCTGAAGCCAAGTAGTGGTCTGTATTAATTTCCTAGGGCTGCCATAATGAAATACCGCAGAGGTGGCTTAAACCACAGAAATGTATTTTCTCAATGTCCTAAGGCTAGAAGTTTGAGACCAAAGTGCCAGCAGGTTTGGTTTCCTCTGAGGCCTCCTCTTTGGTTTGCCGGTGGCCACCTTCTTGCTGTGGCCTCACAAAGTCTTTCCTCCATGTGCACACCCCTGGAGTCTCTGCATGTCCAAATTTCCTCTTCTTATAAGGACACTGATCAGACTAGATTAGGGCCTACCCTAATGTTAGTTTAACAACCTCTTTAAAGACCCTCCTCTCCATACACAGTCACATTCTGAGATCCTAGGAGTTCCACATAGGATTTTGGTAGAGGACGCACTCAACTCATAACGTGGTGGCCACTTAGCTCCCTCAAGACCTCGGGTATGTCAGGGGACAGTTGCCTGAGAAATTCAAACGTGAGAAAAAGAATCATCATTGCTCAACCAACCCACTCAGGCTGCTCCTTACACATGGACCCCTTGGGGCTGAAAGGGTTCCTGCTCTGGCCAGCCTCCCCTCTGAAAGGTGGGTGCCTGGGCCCTTGGGGAGACCAGTTTCCCTTCTATGACCTGATGTACTCGCAGAGGACTCCCTGCTTCTTTCCACAGAAGGAGTTTCCTGAGATCATTGGGGGCTCCAACAAGTCCCTTGCCCTGCAACTGATACACTCAATGCTGGTAAGTGAGCTTGACTCTCCTCTGAGATCCATTCATTTCACAAAACTCCTAGGTCACATGCAGGGTTAAGGCTGGGATAGAGATTTATTCATTCATTCATTTAGTAGATCTTCACTAAACAGAGTTCTGCAATCCCTTATCCACAGTCTCAACATCCAAATAGCTCTGACAACCCAAAAGCTTCTTATAACCCACACAGCAGCCAAAATTGACCTAGACTGATACACAGCCATTGGTCTTCATTATTCCTAAACATTCATTCACTTTATCCCACTATATGTTTCTCTGTGATCATATGAATATGGGGGCTGAACATATCATATAATATGCAGCATATGTGCTGAATTATTCATCTAAGAACTGAAAAGTTTTGAATTCTGAAAACCACCTGGGACTAGAGACCCATATTCACTACATACCAGTCAGGTACTGTTCTACGTTCTAGCAATGCTGAGAGGCTTTAGTCAATCATTTATTCATTCACTCCCTATACTATGGATATAGAGATATATTTAACCTAGACACTAAGACAGAGATAGATTTCTTTCCTTCCTTCCTTTCTTCTTTCCATAAACATACACTCAGTGTGTATTCTGTGCCAGGTTCATTTTATTCATTTTTTCATTGAATAAATGTTTCTTGAGAGTCCACACACCCTGGCATGTCTTAGGTCCTGGGTACAGTGATAAAGGAACTGAAGAGCCTCTTGATGAAAGTGAAAGAGGAGAGTGAAAAAAAAAACTGACTTGAAACTCAACACTCAGAAAACTAAGATCATGGCATCCAGTTCCATCACTTCGTGGCAAATAATTGGGGAAACAATGGAAACAGTGAGAGACTTTATTTTCTTGGGCTCCAAAATCACTGTAGATGGTGACTGCAGCCATGAAATTAAAAGACACTTGCTCCTTGGAAGATAAGCTATGACCAACCTAGACAGCATATTAAAAAGCAGAGACATTACTTTGCCAACAAAGGCCCATCTAGTCAAAGCTATGATTTTTCCAGTAGTCATGTAGGGATGTGAGAGTTGGACCATAAAGAAAGTTGAGCACCAAAGAATTGATGCTTTTGAACTGTGGTGTTGAAGAAGATTTTTGAAAGTCTCTTGGACTGCAAGAAGATCAAACTAGTCAATCCTAAAAGAAATCAGTCCTGAATATTCATTGGAAGGACTGATACTTAAGTTGAAGCTCCAATACTTTGGCCAGCTGATGCAAAGAGCCAACTCATTGGAAAAGACCCTGATGCTGGGAAAGATTGAAGGCAGGAGGAGAAAGGGACAACAGAGGATGAGTCAGTTGGATGGCATCACTGACTCGATGGACATGAGTTTGAGCAAACCCTAGGAGTTGATAATAGACAGGGAAGCCTGGTGTGCTGCTGTCCATGGGGTCGCAAAGAGTTGGACACGATTGGGCGACTGAACGGAACTGAACAGTGATAGCAGGCATTCTCCCTGCATTTGAGGGACTTGTAGACTGTTGGGATGGGTGAGCATGACCAAATACCTCGTACTGGGGTTAGGAACATGGGACCTGGATGCAAATAGACTTGTGAAGGAGTCAAGGTTCCACCACTTTGGGCAAACCACATCACCTCTCTAAACCTCAGTTCCCTCACCTATCAAATGGGGTTAATTCTGACACCTGCATCATAGTTTTACTGTTTGGATTCAATGAGGCAATGCATATAAGCACTTAGAATTATGCCTGCAAAGGCAAATGTTTGGTGAGTCTTGCTATGATGGCTATTGTGATTGACCTGGATCTCTTGCTACCATGATGTTTTACAGCACATCCCTGTCCAGTATTTATACCTAGTGGCTAATGAATATTTCTACAACATGCACTCTCTGGTCGATATACGAAATCGCTTCCTGGATTTGCTTGGAGATGTGTTCTTTGTGATCCCTGGGCTGGTCACAGCTCAATATCACACAGGTAAGTCTCCTCGCACCCTCCTCCTGCAAGGCTGGGGGCCGCAGGGATCCCTGTTGCCTGTGTGCTGGCAGCCCCCTGCTCTACCCTGCCCTTCTGTTCCCTTGCTGAGAGGGAGCTCCCAAGGCTACCTGGGATATAGCCCTGCATGCTGACCTTCGCAGTTCCCCTGCCTTTCGGGGTTCAGGAACGTTGATCAGTCCTTGTTGATTCTAGTACTTTCCTTTCTTCAGGACTATGTAGAAAAGTCCCATCCCCCACCCCATATTTTCAGAGGCCGGCCCCCACTTACCTTTCTCTTTGGAATGCGTGCGTGTGCATGCCCAGTTGTGTCTGACTCTTTGTGACTCCATGGGCTATAGTCTGCCAGGTTTTCCAGGCAATAATACAGGAGCAGGTTGCCAATTCCTACTCCAGGGGATCTTCCCGACCCAGGGATCAAACCCATGTCTCCTGCATTGGCAGGTGGATTCTTTACCACTGAGTCACCTGGGAAGCCCTGCCCTTGGAAATGTCTTCCCAAATATCTATAAGGAGTAGTGGGACAATAAGAAAGAGATTACTTGTGGGACACAAACCTGCCCTTCTTTCTTTTTAAAAAAAGTTTGCATTTATTTACTTTTAATTGAAGTATAGTTGATTTACAATGTTGTGTAAATTTCTGCTATATAGCAAAATAATTCAGCTATATATATATTTATATGTATATATATACATATATACATATATATATTCTTTCTAGTATTCTTTTCCATTATGGTTTATCACAGGATATTGAGTATAGTTTCCTATGCTATACAGTAGGACCTTGTTGTTATCCATTCTATATATAATAATTTTCATATGCTAAACCCAAACTCCCAGTCCATTCCTCCCCCACCCCCCTTCCCTCTTGGCAACCACAAATTTGTTCTCTGTGTCTGTGAGTCCATTTCACAATTAAGTTCATTTGTGTCATATTTTAGATACCACATGTAAATGATACTATATGGTATTTGTCTTTTTCTTTCTGGTTTACTTCACTCAGTAATCTCTAGTTGCATCTATGTTGCAGCAGATGGCATTATTCCATTCTTTCTATGGCTGAGTAGTATTCCACTGTATATATATAAATACACACTTACACACTACATCTTCTTTATCTGTTCTTCTGTTGATGGACATTTAGGTTGTTTCTGTGTTTTGGGTATTGTGAATACTGCTGCTATGAACATTAGGGTGCATGTATCTTTTTGGATTATGGAGCTTCCCAGGTGATACTAGTGATAAAGAATCCTTTTGCCAATGCAGGACATATATATTTAATTTTTATATATGAATTATTATTTGGCCATTAAAAAGGAATGAAATATTGATACGTGCCACAACATGGATGAAGCTTGGAAGCACTGCTAATTGTAAGAAGCCAGACACAAAAGGTTACATGTTGTGTGATTCTGTTTATGTGATATGTCCAGAATAGGCCAATCTACAGAGTCATACAGTTTCCATGAATGAAAGGGAGGGGTCAATGAGGGAATGAGTGCTTCAACAGACCTGGGTTTCTGTCTGGAGTGACAAGTATGTTCTGGACCTAGATAGTGGTGATGATTGCACAACATTCTGAACTTTCTAAAAGCTGCTGAATTACACACCTGAAACTGTTAAAATGTTGACCTTTATGTTGGTGAGTTTTTAAGACTTACAGTGAAGAAACTGCAAAAACAAGCCGCAGATGGAAGAATATATTCACAACAAAGCTATCCCACAAAAAGCCATATCCAGAATAGGAGAATTCATATAGTTCAATAATGAAAAGACAAATAATCCATTTACAAATGGGTGAAAGGCTTGAAAAGACACTTTGCAGTAGAGGAAAAATGAGAACAAAAAGCACATGAAAAGGTGCTCCACAGTATTAATCATCAGGAAAATGCAAAGTAAACCCAAAATGAGGCAATCATTTACACCTGCTATAATGATTAATGTTTAATATTAAAAACTCAAACCATATACCAAAAATTATTGCCAAGGATGTGGAATGTTTAGTACTTTTGACAAGAATGTGAAATGGTTACAATCACTCTGGAAAACAGTATGTTTCTTACAAAATTAAACATATACCTACTGTATTACTCAAATATACGTAAGACTTGTGTATGGATATCCACAGCAGCTTCGATCATAATAGCCCAAAACAGGAAAGAACCCAAAATGTCTTTCATCAAACGAATAGATAAATAATTTACGGTATATTCATGCAGTAGCATACTACTTGGTGACAAGGAGTCAACTACTGACACAGGGAAAACATGGATGAACCTCAAAAACATTATGATGAGCCAAAGAAGCCAGATTCAAGAGAGTACATATTGTGTTATTCCATTCACACAAAGTTCAAGAACAAGCAAAATTAATCAATTGTGATAGGAATAAAAATATTGTGTTTCTTGGTAGAATGACTAGAAGGAGCTACAAGGGAACTTCTGGGGTGATGGAAATGCTCTGTATCCTGCCTGGGGTGGTGTTTACATGAAGGTGCATGCATTTGTTAAATCTCATCAAAATGTACACTTAAAATCTCTGCGTTTTACCTGAAACTTTGATGAAAAGAGAGAAAATGAGAGGAAAGGAAGCAGAGATAGTGAGTACAAGGCAACTGCATTATAAGGCTAGCTAGAAAGGATTTAGAGAAACAAGCCAGTAACTGGAGGGGAAGTTGAGACCAAGAGTATGTATGTTTGTGTGTGTTTCTTTATGTGTATGCATGCACACATGTGTGTGTATGTGCTTTAATGAGAGACTTTGTAAGCTTATTGCCACTGATGGTGATGATCCGATAGAGAAAAACTGATGCAGAGAAGGAGGGCAAATGACAGAGCAAAGACGTTTACTAGAAGAGAGATGAAGCAACATAGGATGCAGTGGAACATCTTGGAAGCAGGAGAATAGCTTTGTCCTATTTTTTGCAGACATTGGAACCAGGGTCAGTGAAAGGAAGTCACAAGGAGGTATATCTTGGATCAGTATAAAGAATTTTTTAAATTGGAGAATAGTTGCTTTACGATGTTGTGTTAGTTTCTGCTGTATAATAACATGAATCAGCTACAAGTATACATACACCCCCTCCCTCTTGGACCTCCCTCTCACCCACCACCACCCCAGCCCTCCAGGTCATCACAGAGCACAGAGCTGACCTCCTGTGCTATACAACAGCTTCCCACTATCTGTTTTACACATGGTATGTAAATACATGTCAATGCTATTCTCCTAATTTATCCCACCCTCCCTTGGTTTGTGTTTGTTTGTTTGTTTGTTTCGAGAAGTAGAACTGTTGCCCTTGCAGGCTGCCCTGAGGGGTAATGAGTTCTGTTTCCAGGAGCAGGAAACCCTAGCCTCAGATGAGGAAGGAGTTGGCTTGCTTTAGGTCACCTCTAGTCTCTGGGCTGCTTCACCTATGAGTCTGTGAATCCCAGACCAGATGGGTGGAGTGTGGGGCCAGCCGCTCCTGTCCCCTGCCTGCATGCCTACCACAAACCCTCTCTACCTTCCTGTAGATGCTGGTGCCCCTGTCTACTTCTATGAGTTTCAGCATCAGCCCCAGTGCTTGAAGGACAGGAAGCCACCTTATGTCAAGGCTGATCACACTGATGAAATCCGCTTCGTCTTTGGAGGCGCCTTCCTGAAGGGCAACATTGTCATGTTTGGTAAGAAACTGGCCTGAGGGGTTCCTGCTCTTGCAGGAACATGAAATAGGGAGAAGGGGAGAAGGAGAGAATCACCACCGTTAGCATGAAGCCTCACCCACCCCAGCACTATGCGAGAGCCTGGGAGGACTGGCAGTGTGGACTGCACCTCTGGTTTACAGACACAACCTTTCCCTGGAGAATGGCCCCACTCATAGTTTTAGAAACCAGGATGAAAAATAAGGGCCAACATTTGCTCGATAAATGTTTCTGTCTGGACTAAAGCCAGGGTGGGCTCCTGGGGGCACTCATGCAATTCGATAGTTATTTACTTGACTGCGCTGGGTCTTAGCAGTAGCATGTGAGTTCTTCCGTTGTCCTTGCGGCACACAGGATTGTCACTTGCGCCATGTGAATTCTTAGTAGCAGCATGTGGGATCTAGTTCCCTGACCAGGAATCGAACTTGGGTCCCCTGCACTGGGAGTGCACAGCCTTAGTCTTTGGACCACCAGTGAAGTCGCACACTCTGATCATTTTGAGAAACAAAGCCACTTGGTTCCCTCTCCCTGACACCTGATCTTGTCCTCCTTGCCCTTCCCAGAGCTTGTGAGGCTACTACCCAGGGCTTTCAAAGGCAAAAGCCGTATTTTTCATAATTTTAACTGAAAGTGGTGTGGATTCAGGTGATCTTATGTGAATGCTTGTGAACTGTTTCTAGTGAGGTTAGCTCATTTATTCCTGAGCTTATGACCTGTTCAGTGAGGTTATCAAAAATTTAAAAACCACAGGAACTATACACAGGAGTTATGACTCAACTATTTCATTTAAAAAATTGCACAATATGGACCCTTAATAAGCCAATTCATGCTGGCCTCTCTGTGATAAGGACAGAACCTCTCCTCTAGAGTGTGTGTAGTGTGGTTTGTTCATTGCTTTATATATTCTTTCTTATCTTTAATGCCAGCAATAACAGAACTACCTCTTAGGTTGTCATAAGGATTAAATGAAACAATTCTCATAAATCACATGGTGAGTGCTTAATAAATATTACTATTACTACTCAGTAGCCATCACTGAGTCTGTAGTATGTGATGGGCACATAGACTCTCAAAAATGGACAAATGAACAACATATGTTTGTGTCAAAGGGTTAAATTACTTGATACCTGAAGAGCTTGTGAAATTAATGAGAAAAGCACAACCCAGTCAAAAATTGGGTAACAGATATACACCAGTGGCCTTTGAACATAAAAATCTACTCTGACTGGCTCCTGGCAAAGAGGATTAAAAACTAACCTTGACCAAGTAATCATTTTTCATAGGTCAAGGTTGGAAAGAACATTTTACATAATGTATTTGAGCAGGTGGGGGATTTGTGCACCTCATATATCAATGGAACACTCTATCAAAACTTAAAATGCACATAGTCATTAGTCCAACAATTCAACTTCTAAGATTTTTTGTGTGTGCAATTATACTTCCACATGTGCAAAAATATATATGCACACACAGTGAAACATTGCTTTTTTGAGCAAAAGATTGAAAAAATGTCAAGACCCATTAATATAGTACTGGATACCTGAATTATATATTTACATATAATTAACTATAAATATGGGCTTCCCATGTGGCTCAGTGGAAAGGAATCTTCCTGCCAATGCAGGAGATGCCAGAGATGTGGGTTTGATCCCTGGGTTGGGAAGATCCCTTGGAGGAGGAAATAATAGCCCACTCTAGTATTCTTGCATGGAAAATCCCATGGACAGAGGAGCCTGGCGTTCTACAGTCCATGGTGTCACAAAGAGACGGACACGACTGAGCACACACGCAAGCACATACATATATATTTATATATTATCTGTTTCTAGAACAACAAAGAGCAACAAATGGAAGTTTTATAGGTGCCAGTGTGGAACTAACTCCTGGATACAGTTTTAGTAAAAGAGAAAGATATACAATGTGTGTCCATTATAGTACCAAGTGTGTAAAAAGATGTCTGCTTAAACCGCTGTGCATATCTACACCCCTTTGGAAGTGCACTCAAGAACAAGGAAACAATGGTTGCCTCTGAGGCTGGTAACTCAGTGACTAGAGGGAAGAGATGGGAAGAAACTTAACTTTCATTAGATCTACTTCCTGTATTTCTAATTTTGTACTTTGAGCAGTATTACATTTTCAAATAAAAAAATACAATTAATGGATTGGTCGAGAGGGAGAGAGGTGATCTTTGTCCCCAAGAAATCGCAGTCACATGGAAAGGGCTGGAAGAGCACTGGACAGACAGCAAAGGTGTGTGTTCAGCCTCCGCCATTAGAAAGCATGATTCCTTGGGCAAGTCATTGTCTGCAAATACACAGTGAGTACGGTGACTTGGTAGGCTGTTAGGGATGCAATGGAAAGAAAAGTGTGAAAGTGGTTCATCCAATGTGAGGCCCCTTGGGCTTCTGGCAAATCATTGTGGGGATGAGATTTTGTGATTATTTCCTGCAGAAGAAGCCACAGAGGAAGAGAAAGAGCTGAGCAGGAAGATGATGAGATACTGGGCTAACTTTGCTCGGACTGGGTAAGTGAACCTCCCAGCTTCCTCCATAGCCAGGTGTTTGAGGATGAAAATCTCACTGGGTATTTGAGGCAAAAAAATCTCTCACTTCCAGGAATCCTAATGGGAAAGGTCTGCCTCTGTGGCCGGCCTACAGGCAGTCTGAGGAATACTTGCAGCTGGACTTGAACATAAGCGTGGGACAGAGACTGAAAGAGGTGGAGCTGAAATTTTGGACAGAAACCCTCCCCTTAATGATGACCTCGTCTGGAGCTCTCCTGGCTTCTCTTTCTTCCTTAACCTTCCTTTTTCTACTCCTGCCTTTCATTTTCTCTTTTGCTCCCTGAGAAGTTATCTTTGTGTAGTTTTGGTTTTCTTTCTCCTACAATTTCGTCCACCATCATTAGCTTCATCTATGTTCAGTTACTTTATGGAATCAGCTGCTTTATCTGTGTTTTGGGAACTTGGGGATGATCCTTAAAAAACTATTTTCAGCATCAAAAAACGCAGTTTGTCTTGGAAGGCTACCAGATTTCTTTAGTAAATCTGAAAGAGGGCTGGCCCATCAGTTGGCATCATCATGATCCTGTTACTCATCTAAAATAAAATAAAAATGCAAAACATGTACAGAGAACAGAATTTAATTCTGGGCTGAAAACTCTCCCCCCAGTCCCAGCCACCAAGATGAAGTGGACTTTCTATCAGCAAACTGTATCTTGTGTATGTTTCCCAAATTACAAGTCCTCCAACCCCCATCCAGGTGATTTTTAACCACAAACCAAGAATGGATGTCCTGAACATCACTGACTTGAACTATGTCTCTTATTTGACTCTGGAGATATTTCAGGGAGGGGGACATACCAGACATCCTCCTCAGAAATGGAAACCAGATGTCCTCCAAGGTCTGGGTCCCAGAAGTCAAGCACCAAGCAGCAAGTTCAGTCAGAGACACCAAGAAGAAAAGATGTTACACTGATGTATGAAGACTAATCCATCATTCAGTAAATCTATACTGGATGCCTGATAGATACCAGTAATATCTCCAATGGGCATATAGTGGTTAACAAAGGCATACTATCCACTGAATGGTAAGCAGACAGGAAGCAAACATTCACACATGTGACTATCTTACATTATAACATTGAAGAGTTCACTCAGAAAGTAAGGTGTTTTAAGAAAGTGTAAGAGGGGAACCTAACTTAGGTGAAAGTCTCAGAAAATTCTCTCTGGAGAAATAACATTTGTAATAAGAAGGGATGAATTAAAGTTAACCACATGATAATTAGGGAGAACATTATACATACCATCATTCAAAGGGTGTACTTTTACTTTTTATACCCATATAATCCCTGTTACATCCATATAACTTACCTAAGTAATTAACATTTTTTATTTATTCCTTCAGAATTACACATGAGGTACACAGAATAAGAAAGTCTCAAAAAAAAAAAAAAAAAAAGAAAGAAAGTCTCTGAAATGTCAGTAACTTACAGTTCATCTCGGTCAGAGATTGCTTACAGCCTAAATCTGATCCCCACAAGTATTTTGTTTAGCTCACACAATGTCAAATATGTTTTGGAGTTAGTTTCTACCTAATTTTAAATTAGGGAAATTTCACATCAAAAGCTATATTTACAGCTTCTCAACAACAGATCTACTCACATTGGAACAGAATTACCACACAGTAACATGGGCTTCTGAAAGCCCGTGAAGTACCTCTGTGCAAATTAGAAGATATCCTTTCCTCAGAACTCTCCACAGAAAATATCTACATCTATGATATGAATGACACATCCTCTGAAATAGTGTCCTTGTACAGTGTACGACCTTCGTAACTGTTCTCTGATAGAACAGTCTGCAGGAGCTGAGGAGTGGCTACCCCTTGACAAAGGAATGAACTCTCAGTGTTCCACAGCCCTCACTATTCCCCACTATCTTGGTCCTGGCCCACTTCGCTCACTGACATTACCTGCCCCCTGAAGGTGTTTAGGTTTGGACCCCTTACCTTCTCATTTTACAGTAATCTGCAGGGATGATGGGATTCACCCAAGATCACTTAGTGAGTTAGCAGCAAGCCAACTTTCACCAACCAGGCCTTGAATCTCTTGTCTCTCCAGAGCAAGACCCTTCCTGTCATGTTGGCTGCCTCCCTCAGCAGATGATCCAAAGTCACTGGATTGTCTCTAGTTTAGGTGATTTTGAGAGTTGCAGATTAGTGATGTTCAGGCTATTTTATGGCTCTTAAAAGAGGGACTGAGCCACATGCAAGCAAGCTGAAAATTCAATTGCTTCTGCAGCTGCAGAAGGCTAATTTCTACATTGATATGTGGCAAAACTACCAACTAGAAAATACCACTCAACTCATATTTTTAAATATTATTATATTAAATGAAATTACATGTATTATTTATATACTGAATGCAGTCCTAACATCAAATAAGGTTCTTATTTTGGTTGGTATCTTGCTGGAGGGAGCATATTTCTACTTCATCCAGATATAGGGCCCTCTCTCCTCGTATTCCTGTCCACCTGCAATCAGATGTTTTATCAAACCAAGGTTGAAATATAAATTACACTTTGTATCCAACTTTTTTCATTTAATTCAGAATTTATATGGGGTGTAAGTAGAAGAATTATATGGAGGGTTTTTTCAAAATCCAACGTCTAGCCACACCCCAGTCTAACTGAGGCAAAATCTTCTTGAGAGGGACCTGGATATCTATATTTTCAGCTTTTACATGTTCAGTGTGCACCCTGAATAAGAACTGCTGAGCATTAATCATGTGGCATATGTATTTTTCTAATTGTTAGAGACTCTTAAAAAAAATCAACTTTTATGGGGCATGGCCAAGTTGGCAGAGTAGGAAGACCCCAATTCCACCTATTCTCATGGGCAAACTAACTTATAGCTATTTACAGAGCAACTATCAATGAGAATGACATAAAGACTAGCAGAGAATATTTTGTATAATTAAATATTTTAATTAAAAGAGGGTCTACAATGAGATGGGTTGGAGGAGAAATATTATAGTCAAGATCCATACCCCTGTATAGGCAACCCACAAACAGGATTATAATTCCAACTGCAGAGGTTACCCCCAAGAGTTAGGGGTCTAAGCTCCACATTGGGGTCCTCAGTCCAGGGGCCCTGCATAGGGAAGATGATCCCCCAAAACATTTGACTTGGCAGGCCAGTGGATCTAACTTTCATGAGAAGGTTGTAGGAAACAGAAACTCCACATTTAAGGGCACACACAAAACCTTACATGCTCTGAAACCCAGGGCAGAAGCAGTAATTTGAAATTACCTGGGTTAGACTCATTACAGAAGGCTAGCATCACCCTGATACTAAAATCAAACAAAGATATCACAAAAAAAGAAAATTACAGGCTAATATCACTAACAAACATAGATGAAAATTCCTCAACAAGCTATTAGCAGATTGAATTCAACTATGCAGTAAAAGGAACATATAACATGATCAAGCAGAATTTATGGCAGGCATGCAGGGATAGTTCAATATCTGAAAATCAATCAATATGAAATACCACACCAACAAATTGAAGAATAAAAATCACATGATAATCACAATAGATGTAGAAAAAGCTTTTGACAAAATTTGACATCCATTTATGATAAAAACTCTCAAAAAATAGATGTAGAGGGAACAAACCTCAACATAATATAGGTCATCTATGACAAGCCCACAGATAACATCACACTCAATAATGAAAGGCTGAAGGCATTTCCTCTTGTCAGGAACAAGCCAAGGATGCCAACCTCACCACTTTTATTCAACTTAGTACTGGAGGTCTTAGCCACAGAAATTTGACAAGAAAAAGAAATAAAAGGAATCCAGATTGGAAAAAAAGAAGTAAAACTCTCCCTGTTTGCAGATGGCATAATATTATATATAGAAAATCCTAAAGCTACCACTGAAAAAACATTAGAACTCACCAATGAATTCAGTGAAGATTCAGGATACAAAATTAATATACAGAAATCTGCTATGCTTCTATACACTAACAATGAACTATCAGAAAGAGAAATTTAGAAAACAATTCCATTCACAATCACATCAAAAAGAATAAAATATCTAAGAAATAAATCTAAGCAAAAAGATAAAACACCTGTACTCAAAAAGCTATAAGACACTGACCAAAGAAATTAAGAATGACACAAACGAATGGAAAGATATACTGTGCTCATGGATTAGAAGAACTGATACTGTTAAATTGACCCTACTACCCAAGACAGTCTACAAACTCAATACAATTCCTATCAAAATACCCATGGAATCCTTCACAGAACTAGAACTATTTGTATGGAGACACAGAAGATCCAGAATAGCCAAAACAATATTGAGAAAGAAGAACAAAACTGAAGGTGTCATGTTTCCTGATTTCAAATTCTCGTACAAAACTACGGTAATCAAAACAGTATGATCCTGGCACAAAAAAGGGCATACAGATCAATGGAACAGAGGAGAGAGTACAGAAGTGAACTCACACATATATGGTCCATTAATCTAGAGCTTCCTAGATGGCACTAGCGGCAAAGAACCTGCCTGCCGATGCAGGAGACATAAGAAACACAGTTTGAATCTCTGGGTCAGGAAGATCCCCTGGAGAAAGGCATGGCAACCCACTCCCGTATTCTTGCCTGGAGAATCCCAAGGACAGGGGAGCCTGGTGGTCTGTGGTCCATAGGGTGGCGAAGAGTCAGACACGACTGAAGTGACTGAGCACACAGCACACAATCTAGGACCAAGTAAGTAAGAATATACAGTGAGGGTAAAGACAGCCTCTTCAATAAATGGTGCTGGGAAAACTGGACAGCAATATGCAAAATAATCAAGCAGGACTACTTTCTCACACCATAATCAAAAACAAATTAAAAATGTATTAAAGACTTAAATGTAGGACCCCAAATCATAAAACTTATAGAAGAAAACAGGTAGTACATTCTTTGATTTGGTCTTGGTGATGTTTTTTTGGATCTATCTCCCCAGGTAAGGGAAACAAAAGCCAAAACAGACAAATGAGGTTACATCAAACTAAAAAGGTTTTATACAGCAAAGGAAACTATCAACAAAACAAAAAGTCCACCTACAAAATGGGAGAAAATATTTGCAAATGATATATATGAAAAGAGTCTAATATCCAAAATACACAAAGAACTCACAGAACTCAACATCCAAAAAAAAAAAAAAACAAAACATGATTTTAAAATGGGCAGAGGGCCTGAACAGACATTTTTCCAAAGAAGATATACAAAGGCCAGCAAGCACTTGAAAATACGCTAACGTCGCTAATCATCAGGGAAATAAAAATCAAAACCACAATGAGGTATCACCTCACACCTGTCAGAATGGCTATTATAAAAAAGACAACAAATAGCAAGTGTTGGTGAGGATGTGGAGGAAAGGGAACCCTTGGCTCTGTTGGTGGGAATGTAAATTTGGTGCAGCTACTATGCAATACAGTATGGAGAATCCTCAAAAAATTAAAAATATAACTGCCATATGATCCAGAAATTTTACTCCTGGCAATTTATCCAAAGGCTACATAAACACTAGTTTGAAATGTTTCTTGCAGAATTATTTACAATAGGTAAAATACAGAAGCAGCCTAAGTGCCGTCAAAAGACGAATGGACAGTGAAGACAGGTATATATACACATATGTATATGTGTGTGTGTGTATGTATATATATATGCTTAGCCATAAGAAAGAATCAGATCTTGCTGTTTTTGACAATGTAGATGGACCTAGCAGTTATTATGCCAAGCAAAATAAGTCAAAGAAAGACAACTACCGTATGATTCCCCTTATACAAAATAAAACAGAAACATAATCATAGATACAGAGAACAAACTGGTGGTTGTCAAGGAGTGGGGGTTGGGTAGAAGAGAAAAATAGGGGAGGGAGATTAAGAATTGCAAACTTCCAGTTGTAAAACAATGAGTTGTGGATGTGAAATGTCCAGCATGGGGGATATAGCATATATATGTGCTATTGTATAGTGAGAGATGGTAACTAGATTATCATGGTGATTTTTTGGAAACATGCATATCACTATGTTATGTAATAGGAACTAACAGAGTATTGTAGGGCAATTACAGTTCAAAAACAAACAAGCAAGCAAGGCTGTGCTGTGTTCAGCCGTGTCTGACTCTGCGACCCCATGGACTATAGCCCTCTGGAGTCCTCTGTCCATGGAATTGTCCAGGCAAGAATACTGGACTGGGTTGCTATTTCCTCCTCCAGGGGATCTTCCTGACCTAGGGATCAAACTTGTGTCTCTTCCATCTCCTGCATTAGCAAGCAGATTCTTTACCAACTGCACCACCTGGGAAGCCCAAACAAGCAAATAAACTAAAAAACTCATAGAAAAGCAGATTATATTTTTGGTTACTAGAGGCAGGGGTGGGGAAGGTGAAATAGTGTGAATGTTGTCAAAAGGTACAAATTTCCCATTATCAGATAAATAAATACTAGAGAGATGCAATGTACAACATAATAAATTAACACTGCATGCATGCATGCTAAGTCACTTCAGCCATGACCAACTCTTTGCAACCCCGTGGATTGTAGCTCACAAGACTCCTCTGTCTATGAGATTCTCCAGGCAAGAATACTGGAGTAGGTTGCCATGCCATCCTCCACAGCCTCGTCCCAACCCAGGGACTGAACCTGGGCCTCTTACATCTCCTATATTGGCAGGCAGGTTCTTTACCACTAGGGCCACCAGGGAAGCCCTGTAATTAACACTACAGTATGTTATATATGAAGAGCTTCCCAGGGGGCTCAGCGGTAAAGAATGTACCTGCCAAGTAGGAGACGCAGGTTTGATCCCTGCTTCGGGAAGATCCACTGGAGAAGGAAACGGCCACCCACTGCTGTATTCTTGCCTTGTTGTGCGGTCTAGTCAGTCGGGTGCGACTCTTTGCAACTCCATGGACTGCAGCGTGCCAGGCTTCCCTGTCTTTCACCATCTCCCAAACTTGCTCAAACTCATGTCCACTGAGTCAGTGATGCCTTTCAACCATCTCATCCTTTATTGTCCCCTGCTCCTCCTGCCTTCAGTCTTTCCCAGCATCAGGGTCTTTTCCAATGAGTCAGTTCTTTGCATCAGGTGGCCAAAGTATAGGAGCTTCAGCTTCAACATCTGTCCTTCGAATGAATATTCAGGACTGATTTCCTTTAGGATGGACTGGTTGGGTCTCCTTGCAGTCCAAGGGACTCTCAAGAGCCTTCTCCAACACCACAGTTCAAAAACATCAATTCTTCGGTGCTCAGCCTTCTTTATGGTCAAACTCTCTCATCCATACATGACTACTGGAAAAACCATGGCCTTGACTATCAGACCTTTGTCAGCAAAGTAATGTCTCTGCTTTCTATACACTGTCTAGTTTTGTCATAGCTTTTCTTTCAAGGAGCAAGCATCTTTTAATTTCATGGCTGTAGTCACCAGCTGCAGTGATTTTGGAGCCCCCCAAAATAAAGTCTGACTGTTTCCATTGTTTTGCCATCTATTTGCCATTAAGTGATGGGACCAGATGCCATGGTCTTGGTTTTTTGAATGTTGAGTTTTAAGTCAGCTTTTTCACTCTCCTTTTTCACCTTCATCAAGAGGCTCTTTAGTTCCTCTTCACTTTCTGCTGTAAGGGTGGTATCATCTGCATGTCTGAGGTAATTGATATTTCTTCTGGCAATCTTGATTCCAGCTTGTGCTTCATCCAGCTGGCATTTCTCATGATGTACTCTGCATATAAGTTAAATAAGCAGGGTGACAATATACAGCCTTGACGTACTCCTTTCCCAATTTTAAACCAGCCCATTGTCCTATGTCCAGTTCTAACTGTTGCTTCTTGACATGCATACAGGTTTCTTAGGAAATTCTTGCCTGGGAAATGTTATGTATGAAATTTGTTAAGAGAGTAAATCCTAGAGTTTTCATTACAAGGGGAAAAAAGTTTATCTTTAATCTTGTGTCTGTATGAGATGATGGCTGTTCACTAAAATTGTGGTAATCATTTCATGATACATGTAAGTCACATCATTATTCTGTAACCTTAAACTTTTATACAGTGCATATGTACTTTAATTGATACTTTTAAAAACTGTTTATGGCTTCTGAATTTGCAGGAGATCAACTGGATCAAAGCGGTGCCCTATTAACATTACTGTCCTTTTGATCTACAAATTCACTTCTGGAAGATCACATCACTTCTTCAACAGTCCAGGTACATGTATTTCACAGACTCTTCTGCTTTTTCATCATTCTAAAAGCATTAAATATTTAATTACTTTCTTGTTGCAGACTTTAAAACTTCTTCATTTACAGAAAAATCCTTTATTTTTTTTTCAGACGATCTTGAATTGAATTACTAAATCAAACCCAAACAAAACTAAGAGATTAATCAGTCTTCACCTGTGAATTTCCTCTCATCCAGCAGAGGGCAGCAATGTAAAAGGGGAAAAAATTTCCCTTCCCTCAGGGCTCCTGGGACGCAGGTGCTGTGATAATGCTAGAGCTTAGGAGGAAAAGAAAACCATACAAAATAGTTAAGTTGCAAACCAACACCATTAACCATTGTCTCTTTTCTCTGTAATATTTGGAAAGAGGAAAAGTGTAGTTCATTACCTCAAGGGCAGGAACAGACACAGATGTAGAGAACGGACTGGTGGACACAGTGGGGGAAGGGGAGGGCAGGAAAATGCAGAGAGCAGCATCGACATGCACACACTCCCACAGAATGGCTGGTGGGAAGCTGCTGTCTGGCATGGGAGCTCAGCTCAGTGCTCTCTGATGACCTAGAGGAATGGGGCGGGTGGCAGGCTCCAGAGGGAGGGGTGTGTGTATATAAAGAGCTGATTTACATTGTTGTACAACAGAAACTAACACAACATCGTAAAGCAATTATACTCCAATTTAAAAAAAAAGTCTGACTGAAATGACTCACAGGCAGAACAGAGTTTGGGGCCCGCGGTCTTTTCCTTTCCTATTTTTTCTAGTTTTCCATCAATCCCTCGGGGCCTCAGACGGGTCGGAAGCAGTTCCTTCCCCAGCAGATCCTCTTCTTTCTACTCCTCCCTCAGTGGCCCTTTGCGCTGTGGACCTTTCTGCCTGACCGCCCAAAGCCTGTTCCTCCTCCCTGTCAGCCTCTGGTCTTGGCCACGAGTCATGGGCTCCCCCTCCTGGCAGAGGTGGGGTTCAGGACCCAGACCTGGGAAGCTGTCGTGCCCGGGCGACCGCTGCCCTAAGACGGCTCCAGGGCACCACAGCCCCGTGCTCTGCGAGTTCATAAGTGTGCAGCTCATTTCATCCCCTGGGAAGGGAGGCGTGGGGAGGAAAAAATCTAACTTGTCATTTGATTGTGTTCAACGACAAGGGGATTCCTGGGCAAAGAGATTGCTATTCTGTGTGGATGGACTGAGTCTTAAATTGGAACCAGAAGGAATGGGGGAATAAAGGCCAGCAAAGCTGTGTAGGAGCTTGGCCACAAATGCGCAGGACAGGGTGGGAGTCAGCCCAGTGTGCGGCGTGGCCGGTATTGTCATGGGTGCTAGAGCACAGCCTTGAGGCTTAGAGAACAGTTTGTATACCTTGACCTGTAGGAAATAGATCTCTTTGTTTACAGTGGGATGATAGATAAAAGGTGAATTTACCTACCTATCCATTCATTCATCCATTATCTATCATCTGTATCTATCTATCAGACTTCCTTGCTGGCTCAGATGGTAAAGAATCTGCCTGCAATGTGTGAGACAATGTGTGAGTTCAATCCCTGGGTTGGGAAGATCCCCTGGAGAAGGGAATAGCAACCCACTCCAGTATTCTTGCTTGGGGAATTCCATGGACAGAGGAGCCTGGTGGGCTACAGTCTATGGGGTCACAAAGAGTCGGACACGACTGAGCGACTAACACATACACACATACATCTATCTATCGTCTATGTATCTGGGCCCCTTTATAGACATACCTCATTTTATTGTACTTGAATTTATTGTGCTTCAGAGATACTGCATGTTTTACAAATTGAAAGTTTGTGGCAACCGTGTGTGGAGCAACTCTGTTGGTACTATTTTTCCAAAAGCATTTGCTCACTTTGTATCTCTATGTCACATTTTGGTAATTCTCACAACATTTCACACCTTTCTTCATTATTATATTTATTATGACAGCCTGTGACTAGTGATCTTTGATCTATTTTAATTGTCTTCTGGCACCAGGAACCGTGCTCTCATGTTCACATAAGATGATGAAATTAATAAATGTGTGTATTCTGACTACTCCACTGATGAACCATTCCGTTCTGTCTCTCCCTCTCCTCAGGTCTCCCTATTCTCTGAGACAAAGTTTTATTGAACTTTGGTCAATTAATAACCCTACAATGGCCTCTAAACATTCAAGTGAAAGGAAGGGTTTCACGTCTCTTTAAATCAAAAGCTAGAAATGAATAAGCTTAGTGAGAAAGGCATGTTGAAAGCCAAGACAGGCTGAAAGCTAGGCTTCTTGTGCCAAACTGTTAGTCAAATTGTAAACGCAAAAGGAAAGTTCTTTTTTTTTCCATCGGATTTTTCATTTTTGTTTATTTATTTTTTTATATTGTAGTGGTTTTTGCCATATATTGACATGAATCAGCCATGGATTTACATGTGTTCCCCTTCCCGATCCCCCCGCCCGCCTCCCTCTCCATCCCATCCTATATGCAAAACAGAAAGTTCTTGAAGGAAATGAAAAGTGCTACTCCAGTAAACACAAATGATAAGAAAGCAAAACAGCCTTATTGCTGATATGGAAAAAGTTTTAGTGGTCAGATAGAAGATCAAATCAGTCACAACATTCCCTTAAGCCAAAATCTAATCTAGTGCATGACCCTGACTTCCTTTAATTCTGTGAAGGCTGAGACAGGTGAGGAAGCTGCAGAATAAAAGTCTGAAGCTAGCAGAGCTTGGTTCTTAAGGTTTAAGGAAAGAAACTGTCACCGTAACATAGAAGAATAAAGAAGTGCAAAGAAGCTGCAGCAAATCATCCAGCTTAGCTAGAATGATTAGCAAGGGCAGCTGCGCTAATGACTGATGTTCAATATAAACAGCCTTCTATTAGGAGAAGATCCATCTAGGATTTTCACAGCTAGAGAGGGGAAGTCAATGTCTGGCTTCAAAACTTAAGAGAACAGGCCAGCTCTGTTGTTAGGGGCTAATGCAGCTGCTGACTTTCAGTTGAGTCAATGCTCACTTACCATTCTGAAAATGCTAGGGCGTTTAGAAGAATTATTCTAAATCTACTCCACTTGTGCTCTGTAAATGGAACCACAAAGCCTGGATGACAATACGTTTGTTTCCAGCATGGTTTGCCAAAAATTTTAAGCCCACTGTTCAGACCTAGTGCTCAGGGAAAAGAAGGATTCCTTTTAAAATATTACTCTCACTGACAATGCATCTACTCACTCAAGAGCTCTGTTTCATGCTGCTTAAACATCCTTTCTGCAGTCCATGGATCAGGGGCTAGTTTAAACTTTCAAGTTATGTTATTTAAGAAATACGTTTCATTCAGGTTATAGACAATACAGGTAGTGATTCCTTTGATCTATCTGGGCAAAGGAAATTGAAAACCTTCTGGAAAGGATTCATCATTCTAGATGCCATTAAGAACATTCATGATTCATGTGAAAAAACCCAAATGTCAATATTAACAACAGTTTAGAAGAAGCTTATTCCAGCTTTCATGGATGACTTTGAAGGGTTCAAGACTTCAGTGGAGGAACTAACTTCAGATGTGATGGAAATGGCAAGAGAGCTAGAATTAGAGGAGGAACCTCATGAAAGTGCTGCCATCTCATGATAAAACTTTTTTACCTTTTTTAAATTGGAGGATAATTGCTTTACAATATTGTATTTGTCTATGCCATACGTCAGCATGAATCAGCCATAGGTATACACAAGTCCCCTCTCTTTTAAGCCTACCTCCCACCTCCCACCCCATCCCACCCCTCTTGTTTGTCACAGAGCACCATGTTTAGGCTCCCTGTGTCACTCAGCAAATTGCCACTGGTTACCCATTTAACATATGGTAAAGTATATGTTTTTTTGTACAGTTCTTCTGTGTATTCTTGCCACCTCTTCTTAATATCTTCTGCTTCTGCTAGGTCCCTACCATTTCTGTCCTTTATTGAGCCCATCTTTGCATGAAATGTTCCCTTGGTAGCTCTAGTTTTCTTAAAGAGATCTCTAGTCTTTCCCATTCTGTTGTTTTCCTCTATTTCCTTGCATTGATCACTGAGGAAGGCTTTCTTATCTCTCCTTGCTATTGTTTAGAACTCTGCATTCAAATGGGTGTATCTTTCCTTTTCTCCTTTGCTTTTTGCTTCCTGTCCTTTCGCAGCTATTTGTAAGGCCTCTTCAGACAGCCATTTTGCTTTTTTACATTTCTTTTTCTTGGGGATGGTCTTGATTCCTGTCTCCTGTACAATGTCACGAACCTCCATCCATAGTTCATCAGGCACTCTATCAGATCTAGTCCCTTAAATCAATTTCTCACTTCCACTGTATAGTCATAAGGGGTTTGATTTAGGTCATACCTGAATGGTCTAGTGGTTTTCTCCACTTTCTTCAATTTCATTCTGAATTTGGCAATAAGGAGTTCATGACCTGAGCCACAGTCAGCTCCCAGTCTTGTTTCTGCTGACTGTTCAGAGCTTCTCCATCTTTGGCTGCAAAGAATATAATCAATCTGATTTCGGTGTCAACCATCTGGTGATGTCTATGTGTAGAGTCTTCTCTTGTGTTGTTGGAAGAGGGTGTTTGCTATGACCAGTGCGTTCTCTTGGCAGAACTCTATTGGCCTTTGCCCTGCTTCATTCTGTACTCCAAGGCCAAATTTGCCTGTTACTCCAGGTGTTTCTTGACTTCCTGGCCATGTGAAGTCATCAGACATCCTGGAATGTGAAGTCAAGTGGGCCTTAGGAAGCATCACTACGAACAAAGCTAGTGGCGGTGATGGAATTCCAGTTGAGCTATTTCGAATCCTAAAAGATGATGCTATGAAAGTGCTGCACTCAACTGTCAGCAAATTTGGAAAACTCCGCAGTGGCCACAGGACTGGAAAAGGTCAGTTTTCATTCCAATCTCAAAGAAAGGCAATGCCAAAGAATGCTCAAACTACTGCACAATTGCACTCAACCTCAGATATGCAGATGACACCACCCTTATGGCAGAAAGTGAAGAAGAACTAAAGAGCCTCTTGATGAAAGTGAAAGAGGAGGGTGAAAAAGTTGTTTTAAAGCTCAACATTCAGAAAACTAAGATCATGGCTTCTGGTTCCATCACTTCATGGCAGATAGATGGGGAAACAGTGGAAACAGTGTCAGACTTTATTTTTCTGGGCTGCAAATCATGTGGATGGTGATTGCAGCCATGAAATTAAAAGATGCTTACTCCTTGGAAGGAAAGTTATGACCAACCTAGAGAGCATATTAAAAAGGAGAGATATTTCTTTGCCATAGTTCATCAGGCACTGTGTCTGTCAGATCTAGTTAAAATAACTAGATTTAACTTTATTGTTAAAATAACAATAAAGATTTAGCATAATACATAAACTTCATTGGTAAAGCAACAGCAGGATTTGGGAGAATCTGACTCCAATTTTGAAAGGAGTCCTACTGTAGGTACAATGCCATCAAACAGCATTGCATGCTCCAGAGAAATCATTCATGAAAGGAAGAGTCAATCAATGCACAGACTTCACTGTTATCTTTAAAAATTGCCACAGTCACCCTAATGTTCAGCCACCAACACCCTGATAAGTCAGCAGCTATCAACCTCAAGTTAAGACCCTCTACCAGCAAAAAGATGATGACTTGCTGAAGACTCAGATGATGGTTAGCACTTTTAGCAAAAAAGAAAACAAAAACGTATTTTTAAATTAAGATATGAGCATTGATTTTTTTTTAAACATAATGCTATTGAATACTTAATAGACTATCATGAAAGAAAGAAAGTGAAGTCGCTTAGTCGTGTCTGACTCTTTGTGACCCCATGGACTGTAGCCTACCAGACTTCTCCGTCCATGGGATTTTCCAGGCAAGAATACTGGGGTAGATTGCCATTTCCTTCTCCAAAGGACCTTCCCAACTCAGGGATTGAACCCAGGTCTCCCAAATTGTAGGCAGACTCTTTACCATCTCCGCTTGGGAAGTCCTAATAGACTGTT